AAATGAGAGGGAGGTGAAACTCCCTTCCCTTCGTGCTTTTGTGTGACTCATTAATGTTCCAGGGTGGACCAAAATGTTGTCATAAGTTTGTCTCCTAAGTGCAGGTTATTTGTGTATTAGATGATTTAATAATGTACTGGAGGAGGCAAGCATCAACAAACACAAACCTGAGTCTAAAGATACATATTAATCGAGTTGTGTATAGGAACTGACTTAACAATAAACTATTAGTGAAGGCTCATAAAGGGAAAGATAATTTTGAAGAGAAATAGATTATGGTATGTTTAAAATTACAAACTTGAGAGAAAAGAACACCTTTGCTTATCTTCTAATTCACTGGAAAGAAAAGCAACCAGTGTTACCAGTGTATTGGAGAGTACAAGGGAACAAGAAATAGAATACATGCCCAAAGGATCAGTGGCAGGAATAACATTCACCAGATTACTTACATGATTGATAAAATACAAGGTTAATAAAAATGTTTATAAACAGGGAGTGAAGGGTGTTAATCTGTAAAGTTAAGTGAGGCCAAAACAGGTATATCTTCACTGAAGATGTGGGTCTAGGAGTAGGCAGTACAGTATTTATGAAATCAGGGGATTCTTATCTTCCTGATTTTATAAATACTGTGAGGGTGCAAATTGCAGAAAAGAGAAATTTCAAATTCAAGGTAATCAAGGATCACAGGTATGGCAAAAGTCACAAAGAAAAATAAAAGAACACTAACATATTGTTCATAGTTTGAAAACTAATGAAATGACATATATGCCAGTGTGTTTAAGCTTGTGGTATAAAAATAGATGAATGCTGTGCAGTCAGTGCTGTGGTTATGAGCATCAAGGAACAGAATAATGCTGATGAGTAAGAAACGTGTGCAACAGCTGGGTATCTTTATTGTTGAAATGTTTTGCCTGTGTGGTAGGCTCCATCAGTCATATAGAGGAGAATGTAGTGTAGGCAGCAGGAGTAGTGGTGAGGTGAAGATGATGTAATCAGCCCATCAACTTTGGAGAAATAGTTTAAGGTGGTCAGTCCCTCAGCCTGGAGAAGAGTTTAGCTCCATGCTCCTCTGTATTTGACTAATGAAGCCTTCTGTGTAGTGAAACATTTCAACAGTGAAGATACCCAACTGTTGCATGTGCCTTACTCTTCAACTTGTCAGTATTTTATATAATTTTCACCATAGAAGTAATGCTGTAGATTTCCATTCAGGTTTGTACCTCTTCACTTCTCATTTGATGATAATCAAAATGATACCATTTTAATTTCCAATTTGTGGCTTGTGAATCTGTCAAGTCACAGTATTGTGACTTATTCTTCTGAAATTAAATTTCTGCAATGTACAGTTGAGAATGGGGCTACACAGCAACCCCTCGATTTAATGGACTAATAGGGTAGAAGGGAGTGTCCGTTAAAGCCAATTGTCTGTCTGTTAAACCTGAATTATGATTGTTTTTCCGTTTAACGGTAATGGATAATTCTGGAGTTAATGAACTTAATTCATCAAATCCAAGAATAAATTTACTCAGTGGACTGTAACAATAAAGGGCAATTCCAGAGTTAATAGACTTTGTTGCTTCTGAATGTTGTCTGGTCACAGATTTTGTCCAACTTCGAAAACTGTTAAATCAGGGTCCGTTAAATCGAGGTTGTACTGAACACTGTCAAGCTTTGCTTTATTTTCGTGTTTGTGTTGCTCTAAAATAGTTTCTTGTACAGTGGTAAGAAACGTCATGTTAGGACGTGTTCTTGGGTAACACCTTATTATCAAGGCCAATATACAAATTGGTTGTCTGTCTTTTAAGCTGCACTTTTCTGCCCTTCTCACATGCTTCCAGACGGAGGGACAGGTAAATCCATGCAAGTTGTTTTTTGGTAGTAACCTGTGCAACCTGTCACTCGTGGCTGTGCAAGATAAATGTGCCCATATGATTGCTAAATATTGAAGAACAAAAAGGCACAATACCATGACTGGAACAATATGTAGATAACCTGCACATAGGAGAGAGGAAGGTACGACAATATTTCAGTCCAAGTCAGACCAAAACGTCGTTGTAACCTCCTCTCTCCTATGTACTGGTTATTTGTGTATTGCTAAATACTGATAACTTAATCAAGATGTTCGTAATACTCTTTATTTTTATGTGGAAAGTTGCCAAGTATATAATAGTCAGTGAATTATTAGTTATTCATTTAGGTTGTGAAGTTTATAATTTGTAATTCTGTAGTGTATAAAATATATAGAATAAGTCACAATACCATGGCTAAAACAAGTAAAAAAAAAAAAAATTGAAAGGAAACTTCTAGACAGAACTTGATACTGGAGCCATAATGAATCAAAATGTAACCTGCAGTTTCCTTTTGAAATTGTGGGTTTGTTGTCAGCTGTAAATTAAAAAAAAAAATAATCTTTTTAAATTGTTCATAGGATGCTTGTAATATACTGTTAGTTATATTACAATATTGCTCTTAAGTGTTTAACAGGATTAAAATACTCTGATGTCATTACTTCTAAACTTATACAATATTAATAATAGTAATGAAATGTGTATCCACTTAGTCACTTAACCCTTTGACTGTTTTCGACGTATAAATACGTCTTACGAGCCAATGTTTCTGACGTATATATACTCAATAATTCTAGCGGCTTCAAATCAAGCGGGAGAAAGCTGGTAGGCCCACATGTGAGAGAATGGGTCTGTGTGGTCAGTGTGCACCACATAAAAAAAATCCTGCAGCACACATTGCGTAATGAGAAAAAAAAAATCTGATCGTTTTTTTGGAATAAAACGCCGACTTTGAGGTGTATTTTCGTATAGTATTTATCGTTGTATTCGCATTTTCATGGTCTTAGGTGATAAAATGGAAAACATATTACAGAAATAGAGATGATTTTCATTACTTTGACGATGAAAACGACCTTGAAACTGAGCTCAAAGTAGCGGAAATGTTCGATTTTTACCAATGTTCAGGAGTAAATAAATCACACCACACGTCCAATACACGTCAACTGGGGAGTCTAATATTCTTTCACTAGTGCGTATGAATAAAAAATCAAAATAGAAAGCAATAATAATATAAGAGGGGCCTAGAGATGTGACTAATGAACAGAGCATATGTTATTTTAGTGCCACGAATGTCTACCTTGTTTATTCTGGACCCTATTTTGAAATTGGCATCTTTTTTAGTTTGTGTGAAATTGGCCAAATTGCCAATTTCTGACCACCACATTGGATAGTCCAAATTAGTAAATGGGAGGTTTCTTGTACTCAGCTGATAGATAAAATGGAGTTCTAAAGAAATAGCTATGAGTTTGGTCAACTGGAACAATGGAATTGGCTGAAAATAGGGCTCAAAGTCGGCGAAATCGCCGATACACATATGTCGCCGAGACAGCTAACTTCGCGGGAGCATAATTCCATGAGTTTTCGACCAAATTTCGAACTTTTGGTGTCATTACCATCGGGAAAAGATTCTCTATCATTTCATAAGAAAAAATAATTTTTTTTTTTTTTTTTTTTTTTTCAAAAATTGAGTGACATAGAATGACAGTTCCAGAAAGGGGCCTGAAACAGTCAAAGGGTTAATATATGTATAGTTAACTGCTTGTAATGATAGAAATTAAACTCGCTTCTGTGAGATGAGCAATTATTTATAATATTAACCCTTAGGGGTCCAAGCCTTAGAGCTACGCCCTGTCCACAGGGTCCAAGAATTTAAAAAAAAAAATATTTTTCTTATGAAATGGTAAAGAATCTTTTTCTGAAGGTAATAAAACAAAAAGTACAGAATTTGATGGTAAATTGATGAAATGACAATACAATGAATTTTACTGCATCTGATATTTATATATCGGCAATTTTTGCCCACTTTGACAACTATTTTAAGCCAATTGCATTATTCCAGTCAACTAAATTCTTAGCTATTTCGCTAGTATTCTATTTCATCGATTGAGCACAAGAAATCGCCCACTCAACTATTTCAAATACCCAATAAGATGATTGGAAATCAGTAATTTGGACAATTTCACACAGTTCAAAATATTTCAATTTCAAAATAGGATCTGGAATAAACAATGCAGGCATTCCTGGCACTAAAATAACATTCCTCTATTTATTAGTTATGTTTCCAGGCTTTACAAATGAATTCCACTTTGATTTTTTTATTCACATAAAGAATTTTTATTCACACCAAAAAAATAAACATTTACTGTTATGCAATGCTGTAATAATTGTATAAATAATATCAGCGCATTCGTGAACACACTTTAGACCCACCATCTGATGTGTATTGGACGCGTGACGTGATTTGTTTACTCTTGAACATCGGCAAAAATCAAACATTTCTGCCACTTTGAGCTCGGTTTCAAGCCATTTTCATTGCTAAAACCTATCAAAATCATCTCTTTCTGTAATATATCTTCCATTCTATCAGATGAGACCAAGAAACTGCGAATACAACCATAAAAAACATAAATAATACACCGCAAAGTCACTGTTTTAATAATAAAAAAAGTCTGTTTCTCGTTATGCACTTAGTGTTGCAGGATTTATTTTATATGGTGCACACTTACTACATAGATGCATTCTTTCATATCTAGGCCCAGATTTAGCACTCAAAGCTTATCTAAGTGAGCTGAGCTCATGATGTAAATCTACTGCTTGCACCCTGGCTTCAATGCTGTAGAACTACAGGTCGGACCCTCAAAGGGTTAAACTTAAAATATAAACTAATGCTGTTTTCAGCAATCCTCATTTCAGTTATTCAGTGACCAAAAATTTGTTGAGGGATAATTATAGATAGTTTTACAGAAGAATAATGGTCTTTTGATGTATAGAAGCTTATGTTGATGTGTATTAGTACGTACTGTATAGTTTCTGAAGTTTATGGAACTTAACATCCATCCTGTTCTTTTACGTACATCTGTAGACTATAGCCAAAAATAGCTTGACAGTACTATTATGTTAATAAAATAATTTGTATTTTTTGTTTGTTAACAGTGGTTTGAGGAAAAGACACAGCAGATCGAGAGCCTCGACTCTCAGCTTCGCAAGCTCAATGCTGCCATGGATGGTTTGGTGGCATATCGTCGAGAACTGGCCACAAGCACCGCTGCATTTGCCAAATCTGCAGCTGTTTTAAGTAGTGTAGAGGAACACTCCTCTCTTAGTAGAGCACTACACCAGCTGGCAGAGTCTACAGAGAGAACACACACCATTCATCATGCTCAAGTATGCTCTGCCTGTTCAGTACTCTTTTATCATCCATATAACTCAAGGCTGCAAGGGGGGCTACTAACCCCTTCTTTAGTATAGATTACTAAATTTAAAAAGAAAAATTGTATATTTTAATTTACCCTTCCCCGGTGGGATACAGAAAAGAAAACAGTTCAAGGCTATGTTTACCACAAACGCATTGCATTCGAGTTCTTCACTATGGATTAATGTGATCTCATGGTGATAATTTTTTGTATAATTCCTACCAGATGTTCTGGGTATGGTACCATGTGTTATATTCTTCATGAAATTTGTTTACATTTACTCATATTGACATTGTGGCTTTTGTCAGCATTAGATTTCTTCATATCTTTATGCTTCCACTTCATCCATTTATCCTTTAACCTCATTCACATATTCTGTAAGTTCATCCATTTATCTTTGAAATGTTAAATAGTTTCTGAAGATACCATTATTAATATGATGTTCCAGTGATAGTCTTTCATCATTGATGACTGTGATTCTTCTTTGTCCATCACTGTCTCGCATGATGAATGATAACCATTGAGATTTGAACATTACCTATTGTTGCTTGACAACCTAATTGCAGAACGCGTCGTGGTTGGTTTTTGTAATTCTCTTGCAAGTGGCTGATTATGTTTTTATAGGTATTATGTAACCTAACCTAAATTAAAATTACCTAATTTAAAATATAGAAAATAGTGTTTGAAGGAAGGCACTTGTACACAATAAGGTTCATCATCTCTCATCCTGTCCTGGCTATATTAGAGATTCAGGTTTTAGGCTTATCTTGCATAAAATCTTTGTATCATCTTCAGGCACATTCATGTCATTATTTATTTATTTTGGCAAATTGTTTGTGAATTGTAGATGTTACAAAGGTAGGTTGTGGTGCTTGTTGCATCCTGTCAGTGACATTAACTCATAAAAACTTTTGATCTATTTTGCTGTTTGTTCTATTCTTGTGGTTTTTTCTTTTATTCATGCTGTCTTGCAGTTCCCAGAGCAATCCTTAACCCTTAAACTGTCCAAGCAGATCTACAGTCACATGCGTAGTACTCCAAAAGTAGATCTACATATTTTTACATATTTTCAAATAAAAAAAATAGATAAAAGTTTTTTACATATTTTCAAATGTAAGAACAAAAAAATACTTTTTTTTACATACTTTCAAATGTTGAAAAAACTTAGATCTATATTTGGACAGTTTAAGGGTTAATAAGGCACTCTTTCCAAAACTTTGTATAAATATAATATGCCTATCTATTTATTTTCTTGTATGAATTTTAAGATGATCACAGCTTAGTAAACTTGATAGATTTAAGTCTGCAGATTTGTGGGAATTATGTTCTAAGGATCCAGTGAATTTAGAATTTGTGAATAATACAAAATTACATCCACGATAATTTTGCTTAAGATTTAAGCTCTTTTTGTGTTAAAGACCACAACTTTAAATATTGCTGTTATGTGGATAATAATGACATTTACAAGGAAGAATGACCAGAAAGAAAATATCATGGGCTGGAAAGTACTCAAGGGCCTGGTCCCAAATCTGCACTCGCCATAGCAACATACTGGAGTGAGAAATATGGGAGGAAGTGTAAAATAAACCCATTGAGGAGCAGGGGTGCAGTGGGGACAATAAGGGAACACTGTATCAACATCTGAGGTCCCAGACTATTCAACTTCTTACTAGAAGATATCAGAAACATGGCTGAAACAAGTGTAGAAGCCTTCAAGAGGAAACTGGGCAAGTATTTTCACCAGGTGCTAGATCAACCAGGCTGTGATGGATATGTGGGGCAGCAGGCCTCCAGCAGCAACAGCCTGGTTGAGCAGGCAAGCACCAGACGAGCCTGGCCTATGGCTGGGCCCCAAGAGTAGTGAAACTCTCGAAACTCTTCAAAGGTATATCAAAGGAAAGGTGTGAGGAAGTCATTGAGCATTTTGTAAAAAAATTTGTATAGTTTCCTTAGTTATTAATTTAGGGGTCATATGCCAAGCACCTGGAAATGCTCACCTCACATTCGTGAATAATCAAAACCCATTAGTGAAAATGTTTGATAACAAAAGTGTGAATTACGTTTTTGAATTTGGGGGATTCAACTCAACTGGAGTTTTCAAATCAAAAATGCCCTTCATGGTGCCTTGATGTCAATGGGGGGCTCTTGATCTAAGGAACTGGACTTGCTCTCCCCCTACTTTGGTTGAACTTGATTACCTCTCATTCCCCAGGTGCTATATGACCAGTGTAATGCTTTGCTGTGTTTTATATACACTTCTTAATGGCTTTTTGCAGTATTTCTTAAGATTTGTCAGACAGTTCATTGTTACCACCTGGTGTGGTATTGTAAATCTGTCTGCCAGTTTGTCTTACCTGGAGGTTACCTGGAGGTTATTCCGGGGATCAATGCCCCCGCGGCCCGGTCCACGACCAGGCCTCCCGATGGATCAGGGCCTGATCAACTAGGCTGTTACTGCTGGCCGCACACAGTCCGACGTACGAGCCACAGCCCGGCTGATCCGGCACCGACTTTAGGTATCTGTCCAGCTCTCTCTTGAAGGCAGCCAGGGGTTTATTGGCAATTCCCCTAATGCTTGATGGGAGGCTGTTGAACAGTTTTGGGCCCTGGACACTTATGGTGTTTTCTCTTAGTGTACCAATGGCGCCCCTACTTTTTATTGGCGGCATTTTGCATCGCCTGCCCAGTCTTTTACTTTCGTAGGGAGTGATTTCTGTGTAGTGAGATCTCGAAAAAAAAAAAATCTACGGTGGATTTCATGGGTTGATGGATGTTGTGTTGGAGTCCCACAGTGCTTTTTGCATATGGTCCTGTGGTCCTTGTCATTATGTATAATACAGATCTGTAGTATTATTATTTTACTATACATGTACTAGTTTCCAAAATTCTAATTTAAATGTTTTTGTTTACAATAGTTTGGCATTTGAGTTTGGTTACAATTTAACAGAGTTTGAATTAATTTTTTAAAAATGGCTGCTGAACCTGAAAATTATTATAAATAAGCTGATTAGGCAAATGCTTTTGACATTTTATATTAACTAATTTGGTTGAGACTAATGGTTTTTCTTCTGTAGGCAGATGCTGATTTTTATCTGCTGAGTGAGACCACCAAAGATTACATCCACCTCATTGGTGCTGTCAAGGTAATACCTTATATGTTGAAAGTGATATAAAATACTGACAGGTTGATGAGTAAGACACCTGTACACGTGCAACAGCTGGGTATCTTTATTGTTGAAATGTTTCACCCACACAGTAGACTTCCTTATTTGATATAGAGGCAGCAGGTGTAGTAGTGAAGAAAAGATGTAATCAGTCCATCAGCCTTGGATAAATAGTATTGGAGGTGGTCAGTCCCTCCAGGCTATATACCCATCAATACCCTATATATCCATGTATAATTCCAGATTTTAGGACCAAATCTTTCGGCAAAAATGTTTGGGGTCAGCTTACCCATGGATGTTACTTTTGAAAGGTTGTAATTCTGACAGTGAAAGTCTATCGCACACTAGATTCCTAATTCTGTGGTGCACTATCAAGGTAGAAGCTGCACTCTAACCATTTTTTTTTTTAACACCCCAGTCATCTCTCAGTGAAGCAGGGTGACCCAGAGAGGAAGGAACTTAAAGCTTTTCTCTTTACCTTTGAAAAAGGGCTCCTGTCTCCTTGATAAATGAGATATATGTAAAACAGATGTTGCACAAGCATCTCATTCTGGTAATCAGTGAGAAAAGTAACATGAAGGGATTCAGAGAAACTGGTTGGTTGGACTTGATTTTGCTTCAACCTATATTTACCAGTCTTAACTAGACAACTCCTACACTCTTTTTTGTATGTACTTAAAATGTAAATTCCATGGTCAAATCTGACAACTTTTACCCCATCCCTTCCCCACCCCATTCTTTCTTCTTTTCATACCTCCTCTTCCTTCTGTATTATATTACATTATATTAGCACGTGTGCTGTATCTTTCATTTGACTACAAAACTTAAGCTAAGTCAACTGTAGTCTGTAACAATGTTTGATCTTTCAAGTTTCCATTCATTTCTGTTTACATCATATTCTTTCCTCTTCAACATAGTCTCATTCTCGTCTGTACAGAATGTTTAAATAGGTTTTATGATTTTTACCCATTTTGTTAATGAGTTTCTGTAGCTGGTATAGAGAACCTGATAGAATGTTTTGTTACATAACTGGTTGTGATGAATGACCCTTTTTCTTCATACAGGATGTGTTCCATGAACGAGTCAAGTTGTTCCAGACATGGCAGCATGCCCAGGCAATGTTGGCCAAGAAACGTGAAGCCAAGGCCAAGGCTGAGTTAGCTGGTCGAATGGATAAAGTGCAACAGGCTCAGGAGGAGGTGGCAGAGGTAAGATTTGTGTATAAGTGTCGTCAACCTACTTATCACTTAGAGGAAAGAAACCATGCTCATAGTGCCCTATAAGTGCTGATTTTTTAAATTATTAGATTTGTCATGAACTACTTTATCATTGAATTCCAGTGAGCCACAGCCTTGTTGTGGAAAAACTTTTCCATGTTAAAAAATTGCTAAAATATTATTGCCACCTTATACTGGGTCACCTCAGTTCAGTGGTGAGGGTTGAGTGGTTTATGGCTAGGAGTAAGGGCCTTCTCTCTGAGAGGGTACCACTCTTCAACAGGCTACTTGCCTCATTAAGAACCCAACATCCCTTTTGGCATTATTGCTAACACTGTTTGTCCTTTTTTTTTTTTTTTTTTTTAACACATCGGCCAATTCCCACCAAGGCAGGGTGGCCCGAAAAAGAAAAACTTTATCATCATTCACTCCATCACTGTCTTGCTAGAGGGGTGCTTTACACTAGTTATAAAACTGCAACATTAACACTCCTCCTTCAGAGTGTAGACAATGTACTTCCCATCTGTCAAGTCCAGCCTGCCGGTTTCCCTGAATCCCTCCATAAATGTTACTTTGCTCACACTCCAACAGCACGTCAAGTATTAAAAACCATTTGTCTCTATTCACTCCTATCAAATACGCTCACGCACGCTTGCTGGAAGTCCAAGCCCCTCGCACACAAAACCTCCTTTACCCCCTCCCTCCAACCTTTCCTAGGCCAACCCCTACCCCGCCTTCCCTCCACTACAGATTTATACACTCGCAAAGTCATTCTGTTTCACTCCATTCTCTCTGCATGTCCCAACCACCTCAACAACCCTTCCTCAGCCCTCTGGACAACAGTTTTGGTAATCCTGCACCTCCTCCTAACTTCCAATCTACGAATTCTCTGCATTATATTCACACCACACATTGCCCTCAGACATGACATCTCCACTGCCTCCAGCCTTCTCCTCGCTGCAACATTCATCACCCATGCTTCACACCCATATAAGAGCGTTGGTAAAACTACATTCCCCTCTTTGCCTCCAAGGACAAAGCTCTTTGTCTCCACAGATTACTAAGTGTACCGCTCACCCTTTTCCCCTCATCAATTCTATGATTCACCTCATCTTTCAAAGACCCATCCGCTGACACGTCCACGTCCACTCCCAAATATCTGAATACATTCACCTCCTCCATACTCTCTCCCTCCAATCTGATATCCAATCTTTCATCACCTAATCTTTGTTATCCTCATAACCTTACTCTTTCCTGTATTCACTTTTAATTTTCTTCTTTTGCATACCCTACCAAATTCATCCACCAACCTCTGCAACTTCTCTTCAGAATCTCCCAAGAGCACAGTGTCATCAGCAAAGAGCAACTGTGACAACTCCCACTTTATGTGTGATTCTTTATCTTTTAACTCCACGCCTCTTGCCAAGACCTTTGCATTTACTTCTCTTACAACCCCATCTATAAATATATTAAACAACCACGGTGACATCACACATCCTTGTCTAAGGCCTACTTTTACTGGGAAGTATTCTCCCTCTTTCCTACATACTCTAACTTGAGCCTCACTATCCTCGTAAAAACTCTTCACTGCTTTCAGTAACCTACCTCCTACACCATACACCTGCAACATCTGCCACATTGCCCCCCTTATCTACCCTGTCATATGCCTTTTCCAAATCCATAAATGCCACAAAAACCTCTTTAGCCTTATCTAAATACTGTTCACTTATGTTTCACTGTAAACACCTGGTCCACACACCCTCTACCTTTCCTAAAGCCTCCTTGTTCATCTGCTATCCTATTCTCCGTCTTACTCTTAATTCTTTCAATAATAACTCTACCATACACTTTACCAGGTATACTCAACAGACTTCTTTCAACACACCAGCTGTATCCCACCAAGGCGGGGTGGCCCAAAAGGAAAAACAAAAGTTTTTCCTTTAACATTTAGTAATTTATACAGGAGAAGGGGTTACTAGCCCCTTGCTCCTGGCATTTTAGTCGCCTCTTACAACACTCATGGCTTACGGAGGAAGAATTCTGTTCCACTTATCCCCCTATAATTTTTGCACTCTCTTTTGTCCCCTTTGCCTTTATACAAAGGAGACAAATGATTCCATAAATTTTCCCACTATGGAGGTAAGGCTTATTGGTCTATAGTTCAAAGCCAAAGACCTGTCACCTGCCTTGTAAATAGGTATTACATTTGCCATTTTCCACTTATCAGGCACTATGCCACTTTGTAGTGATACGTTAAAAAGATTAGCCAAAGGTATGCTTAGTTCCTCTTTACATTCCTTTAACACCCTTGCAAACAGTTCATCAGGGCCTGGGGATTTGTTAGGTTTTAGTTTCTCTATTTGTCTGAGGACCATGTCACTAGTTACCGCAATCGTACTGTGTTGATTAAACAAGCCAGAGCTAACACTTTACTGCTACATTATTTTAAAGACATTCAGAGCCTTTATTTTGATGAAATTTGTGTTCAAGTTATGTTTGCTGCCAACCATTGTTATTTAGCTTACTGTCTTACATGTAAAGGTTTGACATAAGGTAATTATCTTTCAGTGGGAAGGAAAGGTGGAAAGGAGCCAGGAGGAGTTCGAGAGGATTTCTCGAGCAATAAAGAAAGAGATGGAACAGTTTGAAGTGGTACGTGTGAAGGACTTCAAGGATATGATCATCAAGTACTTGGAAGCTCTGATGACATCACAGCAGCAGGTAACACCATTAATGCTGTAATATTTTACTGTTGCCTTAATAATGGAAACTTACTAGCAGTCAGTCACAACAATGATAACATAACATATTAATTATTACAGCCTCTCCTCACTTAGCGACGTACTCATTTACCGATGACTCAGACTTACTACGGGCTCTCTGACCAGTGTGCAAACCTAAATAGTTTACACTAGAGCTAATTTCATCTATTCTGTTTATTACAATATACAGTACACTACTGTATAAACATTTTAAAATTATACTAAAAATGTTATAAATGGTGCAAAGATGACATTAAAACAGTATCAAATATGGTTGACACAAACCCACTATCATTATAGTATGCTCCTCACTTTGGAACAAATTCGTTTACCAATGTGGTCTTGGGAACGGAACTCCGTTGTTAAGTGAGGAGAGGCTGTATTTATATTTTTTATTATAATTATTTATTTACTTGTTTACTTGTTTAATTACCAGCTTGTGTATTTATTTACTTATTTTTTAACACACTGGCTGTCTCCCACAAGATAGGGTGATCTGAAAAAGAAAAAAAGCACACTTGACCATCACTCATTTTGTTAGCGTCTTGCCAGAGGCATGCTGACATTACAGTTCAGGAGCCCTTCCAGGCTGCAAATATCCCCATCCCTCCTTCAGAGTGCAGGCACTGTATCCTCCACCTCAAAGATTTAAATCTTGTTAACCAGTTTCACTGATATATAGTGAAATAAATGAACCTCAAAGAAATTTTCTGGATTTCTTTTGATGTTAATGACCTAGTTTTTATTACAAATTTATGCTGATTACTGTGTTAGTGTAATAATATTTTTTGTACATGTGCTTGTTTGAAAAGATTATATTTTTGCCTTGCAAATGTTAGTGTATGGTTGTATTTAATTTTTGCATGTAAGGTACTGAATGACCTAAAATCCTCTCTAGTAAGATGCTTTGATGCTGGTGAGGTGCTCTTAAACACAAGGAACTGGATATATCATTCCTTTGAACTGAATGTGACTGCTTTTCATTTCCCTTGTTCTGTATGGCCTCTTTGGGTTTAGTGCTTCCCCATGATTAAAAAATATCCTGGGTCAAAATACATACTTTGTAAATTTTACGTCCTTCTTTCAGTTCAAAATAATGAATAGTTGATGCATCTCCAGTTAAATAATGTTAGTTGTTAGAGATTTACTGTGCTGTCATTGTCACCTTTGGTACAATTGAATTTTGCTATACTACTACTATACTAATTAACTTTTAAAGTATTAAAAGTTGATATCATTATTTGGTAATTATCATTATTTTTTAATGCTGAATTTGGTAGTGAAGTGAAGGATGCTGTACCAGGTATTAAGATTTATTCCACTTACCAGTAGTTGAAACTCTGGTACAACAAATATATTGAGCAGGTTAAACTTAATTTCAGTGTTGAAATAGAAAGAAATTGGTTAGATATTACAGGAAGAGAATAGTGTGTGACATGTTACCAGTGGTGTAGAGGACATTTATACTAATAAATGTCCTTTACACAAATGCGAGGTGTTTAGAGATTCGCTGAATGTATAATAAAAGCTTGGTACACAGCAACCATCCATGGATGTGCTATCTAGTGGTATGATAATATTAAAAGTTTTGCTGATAAAGATAATCAGTTTTAGGCCCCTCACACTTATTGTGTTTTCTTATCATGCTAGTGGTGCCCCTGCTTTTCATTGGGAGATGTCGCATCGCTGCCAAGTCTTTTGCTTTCATAGGGAGTGATTTTCATGTACAAGTGTGGTACTAATCCCTCTAGGATTTTCCAAGTGTATATAATCTTGTATCTCTCTCGCCTGCATTCTAGGGTGTACAGGTTGAGGAACTTCAAGCTTTCCCAGTAATTGAGGTGTTTTATCACAGTTAAAACTTTTGATTTCATTACCTTCAGAAAAAGATCCTCTATTGTTTCATTTTTTTTTTTTTTAATTCTTACACACGGTGAGCAAGTTTGCGAGCAGGGGTCTCGACACTCAAAGGGTTAATTATACCCATTCTTCATTTATTCAGATTTCCTACAATAAATATATTCACCACTTCCTGTAAGCTAAGGACGAAAATATTTAAAGGTAAGGTAATAGGTTGGTTGACAGCATCTGCCCAGGGAGGTACTGCCGTCCTGCCATGTGAGTGTAGAACGAAAGCCTGTAATTGTTTTGCATGTTGGTAGGATTGCTGGTATCTTTTTTTGTCTCGTAAACATGCAAGATTTCAGGTACATCTTGTTACTTCTACTTACACTTAAGTCACACTACACATGCATGTACAAGCATACATGTACACACCCTTCGGGGTTTTCTTCTATTTTTCTTACTAGTTCTTGTTTTTGTTTATTTCTGCCTATATCCATGGGGAAGTGGAAGAAAATTCTTCCTCCTTAAGCCATGTGTGTCATAAGAGGCGACTAAAGTGCCGGGAGCAGGGGGTTAGTAACCCCTTCTCCTGTATTTATTACTAAATGTAAAAAAAACATTAATTTTTCCTTTTGGGCCACCCTGCCTTGGTAGGATATGGCCGGTGCGTTGAAAGAAGACGTAGTAATGTAATAAGCAATTGGAGTGCGAGCAGGGTAATATTTTGTGAAGGGATTCAGAGAAACTGGTTAGCCAGACTCGAGTCCTGGAGGTAGGAAGTACAGTGCCTGCACTTTAAAGAAGAGGTGTGGTGTATTGACTGTTTGGAGTGACGTATAAACTGTAGTATCTGAATGCCTCTGCAAAGACAGTGATTATGTAAGAATGATGATGAAAGTGATGAATGATGAATTTTTTTTCTTTATTTTTGGGTCACCCTGCCTCGGTAGGAAACACTCAATGTGTTAAAATAAAAAGAAGTAATGTGTGTACTGTATGTGCAGTTTTTATGCCTAACTATATTGCTCACTTAATATATGATAGTGTTATTATGTTATTAGGCTCTTATATTCATTTGAAAGTGAGAAAAGCTGTGATTCACTTCACAGCAATTTTCACTCTACGACAGTAGTTCGGAACCTAACCTGCTGTACATGCGGGGCCCTTGTATATTCAAATGTTCCTTTTTGAAGTAGAATACTCTTATTTCTAGTTAAAAGATAGAATGGTTCATTTTCTTACCACAAGTTTTGGCTTAAACTAGGCAAAGTAGTTAGTGTTGTGTGTACTGGATCTGTTAACCAGTGTTGTCTGGGTGTTGCACAAGGTGACTTCTGTATGCTATGTTAGTATGTTCTGTATTCTGTGTTAGTAACATTTTGGTAAATTGTGTAGGATAATGGGGGTTAAGATGAATAGTTGAGTTGGAAGCAATACTTCCTGATGATTTATATACTACATGGATAACTGAAGTGTAATGCACACTTGTCAGTGCTCAATAATAAGCCACATGAAGACAAAATATCAGAATATTAATTGGTCTGTATATTTTGATCCTATTCTGGGATCCTCTTATTTATCTGTTGAAGAGGATCCTAGAAGGGGATCAAAATATACAAATCAATTAATCTATCAAGTTTATGTTCCCATGTGGGTTATTATTGAGTATATATGACATCTTCAAAATATCCAGGAGGCATGTGTGAGCATGAGCGTGTTAGGAGCAAATGCAGGCAAATGTTTTTTTGTGACCTGATAAGCTGTTGGAGTGAGAGCAAGGTAACAGTTTATGAAGGGATTCAGGGGAACTGATTAGCCTGACTTGAGTACCGGAGGTGGGGAAGTACAGTGCCTGTACTCTAAAGGAAAGTGGTTCAGGATATTTGCAGTGTGGACAGGCATCTGAGCTGTAGTATCTATGTGCATCTAGCAAGACAGTGATAGTGAATAATGGTTCAAGTTTTTTTTTTTTTTTTTTTTTAAGGTTATCAATCCTCTGAAATGACCAGAGTAATAAAGAAAATATTTAAAATATTGAACTACTGTACGTATTTAGTTAATTTGTAATTTATCTGTGCATTTCTACTATTGTATTATACATTGTTTGTACTTTAATATTTATCTCAAATTTATATTATCTTTCAAGACATGATAATAGTGGCCCTTATATTTGACAATGACAGGACCATATTTTCAGTAAATACATGACACAGTTGTTATAAGAATTGGTGACAAGTTAGATATACAAAGTTGTTGGAACACCCCTAGATATGCAGCTTCTTTCAGTTGTGCTCATTCTCTCATGTTCTTAATTAGTACCTTCATTTATACTACCTTGCAAATTTGTTTACCATGAAAGTCCATAGTAAGAGTTATGCTGCCTAAGAGTTGCAGTATTTATTTAAATATGGAAATAAGCAAGTTTCTTTTTAAATTGTAACATAGAAGAAATATTAGACTAATGTCCAGATATCCCAAGGATACAATAATATTTAGTAAATCCTTTTGTGTCAAGCTGGGTTTCTTCTAATGGTAAGATGTCATTGATTGGTATTAGATGTTGCTAGTGTAAATGCACTTGTTCTGAATACCTACTGCTGCTTGGCTGCAGTTTTTTTTTCACATAATATACTAAAGTATGTACCGGTAGGAAACCATGATTGTTGAGATGCCATTTCCAGGTGAAAATAAATTTTTCCTTGTTTCTTTCCAACAGATTACAAAAGTTTGGGAGACATTCATCCCAGAAGCCAAAGCAATATCCTAGATGGTCAGATGATGGATGGTAACCGTGCTGGCATTATTAATCAAGTGCTAGTAGTTAGAAACAAGTTGCCTTTACTCAAGTTTGAAGACTATTCTGCATTAGGTATCATTCTTTACCCAGAGTTATTTTTTAATTCCACTTATGTTATTAAGCTCATTTCTAAAAGTGGTGCCTAGTTACCTACTTCATGGTACATGCACATGTGCGATTTATGCAGATATCAGCAGCCATATATTGGGTTTTTGTTTTTTTGGGTATGGTCAATTTTATAAGTGAATCTATTTTGATTTTTGAAAATTATTATATGAAGCTTGTTTATGAATCATAACAAAATTGTTGTTACAAAATAATTTCTTGTGACTTAGGACATAGTCAGTGTGTGTATTCTTAATACATAGTTGCAGCTTATCCATAGTGGAATTTTTTGTTTTTTTTTTGTTTTAATGCTTTTGAGTAACAGATCTCTCGCAGTTCTACATCAATGAAATATTTAGAACAGGTTATGCAGCACCTTGTATTGAATGTGTATAGAATTGTACTTAAAGTGATGGTTAACTGTTGATGTTACTTAATCTTTTGCAATTACTATTTTCTTTTTATTATTTAGAGACTTGTCAATTTGATATTAACTGTATTTTGCTAAAATTTTACCAGGAAAGTAATTAAGTCCATATTTAAAGAGCTCAACAAGTTTTTTTCCAAAGTTTAAGAACAATTCATTGTGACTAATTGTCATTTTTAAAATGTTATCTTCTGGATTGTTTTGAATATTTATTTAAAAGTATTTATTAGAAAATTTAATTTATTGTTGGTGCTGCATGAACTCTGAATGATGCGGTGCAGGAAATGTTCTGGTTTTAAGACACACTGGTTTTGTTTTGTTAGTGGACATTTCATCAATGGTTTCTCTACTTTTGCATCTTTCACTCTTTAATGTTCTATTTCTTCTGTTTTTTTTTTTCTATATTCTTTTACTCTACATTTCTTCTACTTTACTTTTTTCATTTTTTTTCCATTCTCTACTGTAATTTTCCAGAGTTGCATGTGATGCTTATATACTTGTGTCCAGTATAATAATAAAAGTTTGTTGATCTCTCTCAATTTCATTACTGGAGGATGCTGCATGGAAAAAAAAAACATTTGAAATGTGCATTAGTTGAATACAGTTCTGCCACTGAAGATAAGAGTATATCCTCGATTTATGCCAATAGTTTCGAGAGGGGCAGAGAGCATGCGGTAAATTTTTGTTGTTGCCGACCCATTTTGCATAAAATTTGTTACATTTATGCTATTGGGTTATCCTAAATAAATTTTTATTGTTGGTGAGTTTTAGAAAAAGTCTGCAAAATATTCTGTTTTACATGTAACTTTGTGTATAAAACTTAACACCCCAAGCACCATTATACTCTGTTCAGATATTTGCCATAGTGTATGGGTATTGGTAACATCCCCCAAAATACTGCAGTGTATTGCAGTGACTGCTCTTGCTCCATATCACTTCATAATTTATCATTAACATTTAGCATACATTCCAGAAAATATTTCTTCTCAGAAGAAATTGATTGTTAAAATACAACACAGTACTGTATAGTAAATAAAAGTACTTTAATAAAAATAGACCATAAAGGAATGTTCCTTGTTCATTTTAACAATATGTGCACTTGAGTTATGAGTCTGAGGCTGTCAGGTTTAACTTTGTTAATGTTCTTCAGTATCATTGTTAATATGGGTGCACACAATGTTGCAGTGTCATCTGAACTGTGATGTCAGCACATTGCAGGCACGACAGTGACTGAATGAATGAATGATGGTGAAAGTGCTTTCCTCTTTCTTTTTGGGTTACCCTGTTTTGGTGGTACATGGCTGGTGTGTTAAAAAAAATTCTGGCAGATGTTTGGAAGAAATGCATATCAGTTTGTTGAAACTAGTTTCCATGGGGAGATTTCTGCATCACAGGCATCGGTTATCCCTAAAAATGTTTCAATTAGAGGAAATTTATTTTAGAGCAATGCAGAACTTTTTTTTGGGGGGTGGGGGGAAGATCCAATTTAGTGCATCCCTTAATTGGTAATCTAAGAACCAAATCCTTAATTCAAATACGTCAAGAGTGAGTGTGTGCATGCCTGCATATGTGCATGTACATGCATCGTGTGAGAGTTTGAGAGTGCACAAACTCTCACACAGATGAAGACCTGCAATGTCCCCTTCTAAAGTAAAGAGGAAAGGACCTTGTCATAAAGCTAAGAGGTCAATGTGTATAGGATATATTTTATTATTATTATTATTATTATAGTCATGAGAAGCACTAAGCCATAGATATATAATTCATAGGATATATATATAAATACCTTTGTTCCTGTACAGTTTTGTTATTGTAGTCTCTATTTAAGATGGTTTGTTGTACACATTTTTGATTAGGCTGGATTATCTACTGAACTGATTGTATGGTATACATATATCTTAAAAGATCAGAATATACTATGAATATGGAATATGTTGTTTATTGTCCCATAGAAAGAGGAAATTCCAAGCACATAAACAGTAGATAAAGGCAGGCCCTACTTAAACAGCAGGTTAGGTTCTGGGCTACTGCTGTAAACTGAAAATTGCTGTAAAGTGAAACAACCTGTTTTAACTTCAAATGCATATATAAAAGCCTGATAACATGTTTATCCTATGTTAAGTGAGCAATAAAGTTAGGCCTAAATAATGCAAATACTGTACACACATTACTTTCTTTAAAATATTTTTGCCCTTAGCAAGTGGTGAATATATTGTAAGTACGTAGTCTGAATAAATGAAGAATGGGTATACATAATTGGAAACTGCTGCATTAGCAAAATGCCATAGAGAAGCACTGTAAAGTGGGGTCTACCTGTATTTAGCTTTTAAACTATTGAATCTCTTTAAAAAAGCAATGTATTTTGATGAGTATGCAGTGCCGAGGCCTAAATGAGTGCAGACTGTAGGATTTCATTCTTTGGAAAAAGCTAAATCAATGAAGATGAAGGCAATGAGTAGGCAAACACTGCTGCATGATCAGCAGTACATGACCTCCCAGTTTAATAGAGGTGTTTCATTCGGACTACACCTACCATCCGACTTACGACCTGCTCGACTTACGACCACTCGACTAACGACCGTGTTTTTTATGCCAAATTTCTGGGAAATAAACAACTATTTGTGTTGTACACAGTGTTTATCCTAAACCTTACAATATAAAATACAGTACTAACAGTATAAAAAGTAAAGTAAAACATGAAATACCAAATAAAACAATAAAATAGTCATTACAAAAATGTTTTGTTGATAGTAGTAAAGTTTGACTTTCGACTTACGACTGGTTTCTCGGAACCGAACTCGGTCGTAAGTCAGATGGTAGGTGTATTTTGTTGTAATTGCTACTCACCTTTGCACCCGTTGGTCTGATCTGCTCTATAATAAACTACATTCTATTAAACTGAGTATAGGTTTCTGGCCGTCTCCTTATCAGTGTCGAGGTTGGGAGACTGCTCTCTCCCGTCTTTGCATCGGCTACACTCGTCTTATTCACGGGTATCTCGTGGAGAGGTGCCCTGTTCCACTCTGATAATTGTCAGGTTCTGGTCTCTGTTACCCATATTCTGTTGCACTGCCCACTCTATTAATAAGCACACAGAATTTACCTCCAATGTCATCACCGCTCTACTGCCCTTACTTTACCTTCCCTTCTTGCTGATGGACCCTCCTTTAACCCAGACACTCTCGTTGGCTTTTTGACAGCAACTGATTTACTGCACAAACTCTGATGACAATATAACTAGCACTCCTCACAGCCCTTTCTACCTCAATCTCTTGCTACCCTCTACCCCTGCACTATCCACTGCCCTGCTTCACTCCATGCCCTAATAATCATACCTCTCTCTTGCTACCCAATACCCCTGCCTGCTTTCCTGCCCTGCTGCGCTGTATGACTCATGGAGGTTTAGTGCTTCTTTTTGATTATAATAATAATGAATATAGTGTATGGGAAATAGAAGTAATAAAGCTGGGTAAATGTAGAGTTGGTATATTTTTGGCAGTTGTGTGTGTTTCACACCTACCTCTTCTGTCAGTCTGACTCCTAAATTGCACTAAAATTGTGGAGTCTTGATTCCTCACAGCCCCTTTTTTTTTTTTATTATTATTATTCAACATTTCCTCCTCTCCGACAGTCCCACCTTTGACACAGACTTTCTGACTTTTTGTCAGCAATTGCTATATTTATTACACCAATTTTTATTGTTTTTTTTTTTTTCCCCTTGACCACTCCCCACTTCCCTTACTGGCCACCTCTTGCATTCTTCTAACCCTCACTAGTTTCTGATCTTTGCATATTTCATCTTGAGCACATCCTGCCTTTCAGCACTGTATGACCTTTGTGGGTGTAGTGCTTAGTTATGATTGTAATAATAAAAATTATTCAACACTAGCTGTGCCACATCTTCAGATACAATGCATTTGCTGAGTCCCTGGACACTGTTCAGGGCAGTGAATTTGCAGACTCCACTGCCCATGTAACCAATTGGCTGAAATATTCTTCCCAGACTTTACCCTTCGAGTGATACTAGTGAAGGTCTCTTGATCTATGAAATTAGGGCTTTCTGCCTTGGATCAAACATGTTAACCCTTCATTTCTTAGTTGTATGAACTTTACAGGTTTAGTCTGGGTTCGATTCCTGGCGAAGGGGTGGAAACATTGGATGTGTTTCCTAACCTGTTGTCTATGTTCACCCATAAGTAAAATGGGTACCTGGGTGTCAACTGACTGGTGTGGGTTGCATCCTGGGACAAAACTGACTTAATTTTTCCGAAATGATCTGTATAACAAGCGGCTTTCTATATAATAGTGTATCATTGATGTCAGCTAGGCCAGTATCTCTTGTACATGTAGTAAATAGATATTCCACCCTGTAAACCTCATGCAGGTAACTTCTCACACTCAGTGTATAAGGTGAGTGTTGCCTGCCTCGTATACCTGTCACACACCTAGGTCATACACCTTGTGTATTACATTGCAATACCGATTTTTAAAGGGGTGGACTGGTAAGCCAGTGGAAGGCTTCGGTCAGGTGACACAAAGCTCCAGTGGCAGGTCATCATTTGACTAAGACCCGCGTTAAGAAACACTTATCCTGTTTACTGACAGATCTTGTCTAACATACACCTCATGAAGTACATAATGTATTAACCTCAGTCATACACCTTGTGAAGTACATAATGTATTAACCTCAGACATACACCTTGTGAAGTACATAGTAACCCCAGTGATTCACTTCGTGAAGTACATAATGTATTAACCTCAGACATACGCCTCGTGAAGTACGTATTAACCTCAGACATACGCCTCGTGAAGTACATATTAACCTCAGTCATTCACCTCGTGAAGTACATAGTGTATTAACCTCGGTCATACGCCTCGTGAAGTACATATTAACCTCAGTCATTCACCTCGTGAAGTACATAGTGTATTAACCTCAGTCATACACCTGAGTCATACATCTGAGTTATACATCTCGGACATACACCTGAGTCATTCACTTCGCTCTCAGCGTTTATTAGTATTTAAGAAATATTTGCGTTCAGAGAGTACGTGTACTCTCTGAATGCAAGTAGTGACCCTGAAAGGTAGTGACCCTGAAGGGTAAAAGACCACAATGGAAATAAGCCGCCACTGACTTTTTGGGTTATCCCAGGTTCTTGACACATATGATGCTATGTATGATAATCTATGTAACAGTATTTGTTTATACCTGAATAATCTTACTTACCTAGTCTTGCAGTGTAAGAGAGAGAGAGAGAGAGAGAGAGAGCAAGATAGAGAGTGACTGACAGTGACTGACTGACCAAAAGTAACATAATGATCATTATCTAACAATTTACTGCTGGTAAAGGATAATTGAACACGGTCTAAACCATTACTGCAATAAGAACAGCACCAGAAAATGAAATGACTTCGTATTTTAGTAAAATGAATAATGGAAGAATGGTGTGACAGAGCTTTTTTGTCTGTTAACTTGTAATAGTATTGAGTTCAACATACAACTGAAAGCAAGGCCAAATGTGACCAGTGTATTTGCACGTATATACCAAGAAGTGTATTTCTCTCGAAGTATATACGCTGAGAATTTACTTTATTCCCTATTTAAGTAAGTTCATTTAAGTGCAGGTCCACATAAGTACAAGTATCATTAAGACACCTGCTGTTCCTGTTCACCTAACAGTAAGTAGGTACCTGGTTGTTAGTGGACTGGTGTGGGTTGCATCCTGGGTGTTAGTGGACTGGATGTGGGTCGCATTCTGGGTGTTAGTGGACCAGTGTGGGTCGCATCCTGGGTGTTAGTGGACCGGTGTGGGTTGCATCCTGGGTGTTAGTGGACTGGTGTGGGTCGCATCCTGGGTGTTAGTGGACTGGGGTGGGTCACATCCTGGGTGTTAGTGGACTGGTGTGGGTCACATCCTGGGTGTTAGTGGACTAGTGTTGGTCACATCCTGGGTGTTAGTGGACTGGTGTGGGTCGCATCCTGGGTGTTAGTGGACTGGTGTGGGTTGCATCCTGGGTGTTAGTGGACCGGTGTGGGTTGCATCCTAGGTGTTAGTGGACCGGTGTGCGTTGCATCCTGGGTGTTAGTGGACTGGTGTGGGTCGCATCCTGGGTGTTATGGACTGTGTGGGTCGCATCCTGGGTGTTAGTGGACTGTGTGGGTCCATCCTGGGTGTAGTGATAGTGTGGTACATCCTGGTGTTATGGACTGGTGTGGGTCGCATCCTGGGTGTTAGTGGACTGGTGTGGGTCACATTCCTGGGTGTTAGTGGACTGGTGTGGGTTCATCCTGGGTTGTTAGTGGACTGTGTGGGTGCATCCTGGGTGTTAGTGGACTGGTGTGGGTCACATCCTGGGTGTTATGGACTGTGTGGGTCGCAATCCTGGGTGTTAGTGGACTAGTGTGGGTCGCATCCTGGGTGTTAGTGGACTGTGTGGGTTGCATCCTGGGTGTTAGTGGACTGTGTGGGTCGCATCCTGGGTGTTAGTGGACTAGTGTGGGTTGCATCCTGGGTGTTAGTGGACTGGTGTGGGTCGCATCCTGGGTGTTAGTGGACTGGTGTGGGTCACATCCTGGGTGTTAGTGGACTGGTGTGGGTTGCATCCTGGGTGTTAGTGGACTGGTGTGGGTCGCATCCTGGGTGTTAGTGGACTGGTGTGGGTCGCATCCTAGGTGTTAGTGGACTAGTGTGGGTCGCATCCTGGGTGTTAGTGGACTAGTGTGGGTCGCATCCTGGGTGTTAGTGGACTGTGTGGGTCCATCCTGGGTGTTAGTGGACTAGTGTGGGTCGCATCCTGGGTGTTAGTGGACTGGTGTGGGTCACATCCTGGGTGTTAGTGACTGGTGTGGTCGCATCCTGGGTGTTAGTGGACTGGTGTGGGTCGCATCCTGGGTGTTAGTGGACTAGTGTGGGTCGCATCCTGGGTGTT